TCCTTGTCAAGGGGGTTGCTAACCTTCTCTCGGCTCAACGAACATCATGTTTAGAGGTAATTGCTCACTATCAAAATTGTCAAAAGTCTAATATTTCTGTCAAATATACTTCAAAATAATATGCTCAGTAGAAATTGCCATAAATGAACCCGACAAGCTATTAGCTTCAGTCAAAATGATGTAAAGTTATCTCGTCAATAATTGTTTATTGATCTACTCTCCTTAATAATTTTTTATTGATAACTAATGCACATTCTTAACTTTCTTCTTTTCTTGCTCCTACTTCAAGGAAGTTACTGTACGCCAAGACTAACGAAGCCTTTGTAAGCAATGTTCATCAAGTTGTGTTCTTCTCGATAGAACTTCCACAAACGATTGAACTGTTTGGCCCATCTTGTACATCACTTTTCTCCTCTTGTTTCTTTGCGAGATACATAAGAAAGTTAGAGTGTGTCACACTCAATTGTTGTCAACAATGAAACTCTTGCAAATCGTCCGTTGTCGTTCCTAGCATCCCAGCCACTTCTCAACAATAGATGAAAACGAATTGCCCACAACTTAACTTTTAATAGTCAGATTGTTGACTCGAATAATCTAGCTCTCGTTAGTTAGTTTGTTGACTCGGATTTTGAAAATGAACAAGAGACTTTTCCTAGCAATAATGATATTGCAAATTTATTGAATGATGGTAATTCGATACATACTCTGAAGTCAATTAGACATAAAACCTTCGCCATCCTCAACAAAAAACGTGTAACAAAACCAAGAGGTGTAGTTTATGAACACATTAATTGTGTAGACGAAAATGACAAGATGTTGTTATACTGTAAATACTGCACGAAGTCACTGTGCTTTTCTGAGAATGTCTTCAAGAAGACTGAATCAAGCATATCAAACCAGATGAAGCATGTGAAGAGTCATCATTAAAGTCAATATTTTGGAAGCAGCAACACATTGTTGCGATCAATGGATTTCTATCTCAAGAATTTACCTGCTCTGCAGAAAAAAATAGCAGCGACTTCAGATATTTTTGACGATCTTATTGGTGATGCAATTAAATATTTTGTATTGTCTAGGGCTGAAACGTTCATCATCATTGAGTCAAAGTTATTCTTAACACCTTTGAAAATATTACTCAAATGCAATCGCAACAATATGATCATCCCAAAAGTTGATGCCCTTTAGATAGTATATTGAAAAGTATCAAAAATATGAAAGCTGAATTTAAAAGAAATTGTACAAAAGCAATTATGCCGTACATATGTCACTGGATATGTTAACATTTCCAAACCAATTTTCTTTTTTGGCTATAATCATACTCTTTGTTGATCCAAACTGTATTTTTCACAAAATTGTTCAGCAAACATTGGAGGAATTTGGAATTATCAAGTGTGTTGGATGAGTGACTATTGACAATGACTCAAACAATGACACTCCAATGTTATTGCTAAAAAACTCTATTGACAATAATTGCATTCGTGAAAAAGTATCAAAAACTTGAAACGCAAATGATTCAAGGATCCGATGTCTGCCACACATTATCAATCTTTCAATGAAAACGTTTTTTAAATCTTTGGAAGAAACTGAAGATACTCCAATCGACGACAAAAATCCTATTAATAATGCTTATAATATTATCCGAAGGCTACATTTTATAGTGAAAAAATTGCGTTTCAATTTTCAGCAAAGAAATCAATTCCACGGGCAATACAATTTTTTCAATTGTGAAAATTTGATGCTGACCTTGGATGTCTTAATCCGTTGGAACTCAACATATTACATGATTGAAAGAGCAATTAAAGTTCAAAATTGCCTCAAAAATTGGCTTCCTATCGATACTTAAATTTGAAGCATCAAGCTGAAATAGTAGCAATTTAGTGATGATAAATGGAAAAAGTTTCAAAGCATTTGTGAGCACATGAAAAGATTTGAAGAGCACTTTGAGCGTTGGAGAAATACCCAACGCTCTACTTTGTAATGCTTGTGTTCATTGAATTGTTCTCATATTTTGAAGTACATGTGACTATTCTTGACAACCTAAATACTATGAAGAACAGTCTATCCGCTGCACACCAAGTACTTTCCAAGTACTATTCATTCACGGATAATTTTTCTTTCTATATGATGTATGTAATTTTGAACCTAAGGTTCAAAAAACATACCTTGAGCAGAAGGAATTTAAGTCGCTTTACCCAGGATTAATTAGTGCTACTATTATGCTCTTGAAAAAGTTGATCAGCGAGATAAAAATGTTTTGTGACGTCAATGAGATCAATTCAGTTCTTTCACATTAACCTCATCAGCTAACTGTATTTTTTGCGCGTTTGCTCAATGCTAAGCAGATAATGAAACGGAAGATGAGGTTGACAGATATCTGTGCTTACGATGTGAAGATCCTACCGTTAACTCGTTGAAATACTGGAAAGTCCATGAAAAATAGTTTTTCCCTATCAGTGCAATTGCAAAGGACATTTTTTATACCAGATTTGTCTGTGGCCGTTGAGCATATTTTTAATTGCGGAAGCGATGTGATTAATATGCGTCGGCACTCTCTTGGTCCCGCGACTTTGAAGTTTATATGGAAAAAGTGTTTTGAAATGATTCATAATTAATAAAGCCTACAATTTGTTTTTGTCCATGATTTTTTTTGGCTTCTACCCGATCGATCTAAACCCTAACCCGACTTGAAAAAGTCGGGTTAGGGTTCAAAATCAAACCTGACCCGAACTGATCAGAGTCCTAATTATAATGTATTGGGTTAGTATATGTAATAAATTTTCATTTATTATATAAATTTATTATATAAATTTTTATATATATGTATATATATATTGAAAATATATTGATTATTTAACATATCATGTCATAAATTTTGTAAGAATATGAGTAAAAAACACAAGCTGCTAATTTTGTATTCTTTATCCATTTTCTTTAAAATTTTTATTTTTGTTTCTTGAAAATGCATGATACAACCATATGTTAAATTAAAATATTCTGTGCATGTTTTTTCAAGATAATGGTTTATAATTCTAGACTTTAAATATCATAATCATTTGTATTTCCTAATCAAACCATTCATCAACACATCAGATATGATCACATATCTGATGTGTTGTGATCACATATGAGATTATTAATCTACAAAACAAAAGGACAATATACATGGAATACGATTAAGTTATGTTAAAATAATGTCTTTTGACTTTTTTGGGGCATGAAAAATATAGATTAATTGATATCATATGGAGAAATGAGATTGAAAATAGAGATGTATACCCAATTTCTTCCTGAATAATTGAAACAGCATAAAATTTCCCATAAGAGTTGTTTCATATCAAAATCTATTGGGAAAAAAATATTATACTAATATACAAAATGTTATACCAAATTTAAAGGTAGTTGACATTACACCTGTGATATTACTTTGATATAAATAGTGTAGATAAAAGCCGTTACAAAGAAAGAAATTTGTATTTTTACGAAACGAATTAATGAATGGTATATTTTTCGTACTCGTGCACACAAAGTATCATAAATGAGACGATTCCCTACAAAATGGAATAATTTTTTGATATCAACGTTATCTCTATCAAACAAGCAAAATGCATGTGTATACATACACGAAAGATTTGGAATTTCTCCTGAAGTATACTTGTGTTTGATCACTCAGCAGGCCAGGCCTGAAATACTTAGCACTAATCCAGACATGTTGTGATGAGATGACACATGGGCCCAGCTGCCCCAAACTGATAATGAAACAATGCTTGCTTCATTCCAATTAATACACTGGACAACTCAAACCGCTGCCCCCACTCGGTACTCGCACGTAGATCTCGAAGCGAAATGTGATCATGAGATCCGATTGGCACGAAAGGTTCATTGCGATCCCCTCATTTCTGACCTCATTGCAGCTGTGGAGCTCGCACAGGTCACGAGCATTCAATCCTAGTATCTGAGCTAAAGTATGGCTTTGGCTGGGCTGAGGCAAAGGAACAGCACCTTTGGGAGCGGGACCGCGAGTATTAGCTCGTGAGGTTCGTGCAGGAAACCTTTATCATTAACCAGAAGATGCATTGACGATGATGAATAAGGGAAATGCCAGTCAACTGAGAAGCACCAACCTTCTGAAGATTACTGCAGAGGTTGCTCGCGTACACAACAGGTCCAACGCGTACCCCTGACTGCGAGCACGTACAGTAGTCACAGCAATGATGTGCTTTGATCCTTATTGCTGAATGCACGCATGCAATCGTTTGTCACCCGACGTAGTGTAGTTAGTGTACACGGAAGTTTTCAATTGCAACCTTGGGTTGGACCTGAAGAATTTGAATGGAAATTGTTGCACACCTTGCTCGTTCAAATAGTCAAGCATTCAGTTCGTTAAAGACTTGATAACACCAGTGAGGACATACTATACCTTTGACTCGTTCATGATCAAAGGTCGTTTGCATATCCAGCTAGGGGATGTTACAAGTTGAACTAGCTCGGATAAGCTGTAGATGCAGATTCAGCTGGAGACTGCCAAACGAGAAATCGCACGAAACTTCTGATGAAGTTTTCATCTGGTGGAAAGCTGTAGCCCTGCTGTGACAACCTAATCAATAAACAAGCTGAGCTGTGCGTGTTCACTGATCATCATGACCCTGGGATCACTCTCTAGAACCCTTTGACTCATAAGCGAGCGCATAACTCACCTTGACTTGACGTGCTAAAATTACAGCAGAGTCTGGGTGAGAATCGAGAAAACTCACCAAACTTTCCAGTACAGACCACTTCGCTAGGCTTCCAGAGTTGCAGTTTACGTAAAGGTCTTGAATCCTCACGCAGCAGCCATCATCACCGCCTGCGATGATGATGACCTGCGATGTCCGCACAGCCCTCTCCCATCTTCCCACTCTCGCTCTCCCTCTCCATCTATTTACACTATACACACCGACAATTCGACGAGTGTCCTGACGTGCAAAATCGGCGTCGAAATTCACATTCTCAACATTCACTGCCTCTCTCTCTCTCTCTCCATGAGGAGCCGAGTAAAAAAACAAACGCTCGTCTCGAATTCACATGACAGCCGCAGAATGTCTGAAAACCTCCGCCCTGAGTCTGTCTCGAAGGATCGCATGGATTGATCACCTCACGTCGTCTGAGACACGAGTCCATGGACCTGATGTGGGCACGAGGGCCAAGCGAGATCAGACGGCCGCAGCCATGTTCTGCTCGAACCGGAGCCGCTCCTTCTGCAGTCGCCACCACCAGCGGTAAGTTTCCAGATGGCTGTGCTCCTGCAACGCATCGTCCCACGGCTTCTCGATGATGTAGTGCACGATTTTGACGAGGCTGTCGTTCCAGATGGGCTGGTGCGCCTCGCGCATGGTGTACAGGCCATTGTAGACCCAGGGCAGCGCGACCCAGCGGCCGGCGAAGACGAGGCGCAGCGCGTTCTGCTCGGCGTGCGAGAACGAGGCGACCAGCGTCGCGTTGGCCAGCACGGCCAGCAGGCGCCGGAAGGTGCCGGCGTCGGGGTCGATCACCTGCAGGCCGCCGTTCGGCAGCGCCAGCCCGAAGCGCCCGGGCACGGCGTGCTCCGGCAGGTGCGCCGTCGCGGGGCGGGCGTGCTGCGCCGTGTAGGCGCAGTTCTCCGGCCGGAAGTTAGCCGGATAGTGGGCCAGCTGCTTGGGGTTGCAGACGCAGGCGTGCGTGGCGGCCATCGTCGCGGGCTCGAGGCGCATCTCCATCAGCTCGTCCGCGTTCTGCAGCGCGACCATGTCGGCGTCCAGCTCGACCACGCGGTCGTACTCCGTCATGCCGTGCGGCAGCAGCTTGGTCCAGGCGTGGTTGAAGCGCGCGTCGAACCCCGTGTACGTCTTGGCCGCTCGCAGCATGGTGATGGCCTTGGTGGCGATCCCGCGCCGGCGCAGCGCGGCCATCGTCGCGTCGCTCAGTGCGTCGCGCGGATGCATGACCACCAGGGCGTACTTGGACGCGACCTTCTTCATCGAGAAGTCGAGCGTCAGCACTCCGGGCAAGTACTCGTCGCTGCTCAGCTGCACCATCCACACTCTCTTGTGCACTGGCCTTCGCTCGGCCATCTCAGCTGACCATCTGAACGCCACCACCGCGGCCAGGCACATGCCCAGCACTGCGGCCGATCTGCTCACCATCTTGTCTCGATCTCGGTTCTCGTCTTTCCAGCTCTACATGTCGCACTCCGAGACCAGCTGCTCACGTGCATGTCGGAAAGGAAGCTCATCAAATTTTACGTAAAATCGCAGAGAGAAAGGCACACTTGCCTGTCAGCTGCTTTAGATCCTTCGAAGCTGTTGAAGTAGCAAGGGGCCGACCCCATGAATTGACTGAAAGGCACACTTGCCTGTCAGCTGCTTTAGATCCCTCGAGGCTGTTGAAGTAGCAAGGGGCCGACTGCATGAACTGACTGAATTAACATTGATGCACGAGTCGCAGACGAACGATGCCCATGATCTGAAAATGCCGACTCCTCTCCTTCTCTTTCTTCACTCTGTCTTCACTCTCTCGATGCTTCACGTCATATCTGGTTGGATCGAGCGCAATCCTTCGATCGACAGGCCGAGCCCTGTAGTGGTCGAGTTTTTCCTTGATAGATAAATCCCCCTGGCGTGAAAGCTCACGCCATCTCCAGAGTGAATGTTTTCTTCCGACTGCAATTCAGAGGAATCTGCGGGGACGATTCCTGGACGCTTGTGCTACGGCTGGAACTACTTCCGACTTGATGGGGTCTTCCCATTCCTCTTACTTACTGCATGGCCTCTAAGAATCTTCCTCCCGCAGCCGACGCCCTTGGGTTGTCCATCCCAGCTTCTAACCTGGCTCATACCACCACCATCACCCCCGAGTTCAATGGCAACTTCAAAGCACTGGGGTGGCCCCTTCTGGTGCCTGATCTCCAATTAAAACAAATTACGATCAAGCTCCTTTGAATCCACTTCGGACCTGATTTACTGCATATGAAGATGACTTTGGATGACTTAAAGGTTACTTGTCCCCCGACTGTCTTCCATAAGGAGTTAGTCCGCCACAATCAGTCGGTGAGCAAACATTTATGAATGTGGGATGAAGGAAAAAGTGCTCATGCCAAATATGAACACATCTTCATCTTAGTAAGAAGATCCCAATTCAGAACTACTTCTGGCGCAGTCTCGTCTCTTAATAAAGCACAAGTCTCACTTCTTTCTGATGAAATTACGATAATATCCGGATCCAATGCACGACGGATTCTGATCAGCGCCTTACGCTAATTTATTTCCTTTCATTTTAAGACAATACACGAGTGCGCTAATCCACCTCGGAAATTCTTTGAACATGAGAGAACATATGTCAGGACCTCAGAGTACAACTCCCTGAATAAGGATAAAATCATGATCAGATCGTCCGGTGGTTTCGACGGGTGATACTCTGCTTCAGGACCAAGGCTTCTATGCACATTCTCGATTCTCCACCCCTCTGTTCTTTCCATCCATCCAAGAGATGAGAGATCGCCGATCTCTCATCTCTTGGATACATCTGGGTACATCTCTCTCGGAGGTACAAGTGGAAACCCTCGATGACTATCTGGACAGTTCTCCAGTCGCCTGGCAATTCTTTCATTGTGCGCAACGGGGCGTAGATTTAGGGACCGTTGGCGCACGATAAAAGAATTAGGGACAGTTGGGAAATTCTTTGGTGCGCAACAATTCCTCAACTGTCTCTATGATCTCCTTCCTCCTATCTCACTATCTAGAGTTGGCGGATGAGAAGATTGTGTAGATGTTTGAGGCTTTCTTTCATCCCTGTTGACGATTAATGACGAGTAAGGTGCGCAGGCAGATGTGCAGATTTACTTGTGGAGTTCGCATGACAGAAATGAAGGACAGGAGAATGACATATCGCCAGAAGTCAAAGAGCCCACATAGGGTAGCAGAAGTAACACCCCATCAAAATCTACAGGGAAGAAACCAAAGGGGTAGGATTGGTCTAGGCCCCAATAGCATCACAATTGCATCCAAAATAGACTCACTGTCAATATATACACACAACATCTGACATGAGCATTGAAAGGATATTCCATCACCTGTAATGACTGAATTTCAAGTATTTAACCAATCATTATTTTGTAAAGATCAATGGATATACATTGACCAACAAAATAAATTTAAAAGTGTAAATTTAATAACCTACTCTATTTGTATTTTGCGTTAGTAATTATAGCACATTTGAGTTCAACTTCTCAATATATCTTTGTCAATAGCATTGAACCACAACGTTGACATTACTAACTTAATATTCTAGCACCATATATGCTCAAACCAAGTGTATATGTTTATATTCACCCAAGTGAGTCCATTACACGATATATCAACGCGGTTTCCATGTAAACAAATCAAAGCACATGCCATATCCACCCCAACAGCTAATAAGAACTTGTAAGCATGCACTACAGTGTCTACAGAATTATTTGCTACTGATATGCAATCTAGTCTTGCTACATGCACGTATTATTAACAAGTTTACGGGATGCCAGGGCGAAGGCAGAAAGCGAAAGAAATAATAGATGCAAAAGGCCTTGTCAGCTTTTTATCTCTTATTTGAGTACTTTTTGTTACTTTTTGTCACTTTTGTTTTCTGACCGTCCCCATAGGCCTTCGCCCCGAACCTCTAAGCTATTCAAACTATTGGCGCACTGTGCACGACTTCTTTGAAAGGCTGGATTCTCATCGATAACTGAGTATTTTCCTATCTTCAATATTGGATCCATACTGCACCTAACGTGCAATTACACTTAGAACCAATGCGTATCCAGCCAGCAAGTGTAGCATGTTTTACCTCTTAAAATCATATAGTTGCTACAAATTGCAACATATGACACTGCACTCTGATAATGATCATGCCGTGTGGAAAGAATGACCGTACACCTTACATATTTTTTTAGAACATTTCTTTCCACTTTTGACAACCATGAAAGAGATCGCGAAGTACTTAAAGGCAAGCTTGTGTCCATCTAGGACAAACTGTCATGCATCACTGCGTGCCAATAAGCATACACTTCCATGTATAGGGAGAGTAGTTCATCAAGTGCGCAGGGAGGATTCTATCGTTTTGCTGTTGAGTCATTTGGAAATTTTTAGTTCTGAAACTACTCGAGAAATACTTTTGAGATTAGAGACTGAAAAAATTTGAAATTAGAGATATTAGGCATCTATATTTTAGAATGCCTAATGTACAGAGGCCTGCTGATGACTTTAATGTCTGAAGAGGACACTCACTATGAAGTAAGCTTTCCAGTTAAAAAGACACATTCTGAGTCATCACATTGACACGCGCTAACAGGGAGGAATAGCAGGTCGAAGACTACCTCATATCTCATTCCATTGGAAATTGAAGTGCGTGGAGCGCCCGTCAGAGAAGTTGATCAATTCCTTACACGATATGCTGCTCTTGTATCCAGCTGACCCTCGTAATATTTGATTCAGTTGGTCCAAATAATCGCTACCTCTTGTTTAATAATTGGAGTCTTCGGGCGGAGGGTCTTTTCATCAGTTCTAGACCCCACAACAGGAACAAAGAGATATTCGCAGACAAAGCCTGGAAGAAGTCCATCGAAAGAATGAACCTACTTCGAGTATACTGTGAGCATCGACGTGCAGTGCAAGCTCAAAGGTGCTCAAGGAGACCTACATATTGGAAACGATCAAATTCGACAGATAAACGACAAACACGCATGAGGTTTTGGAGACAGATGCTTTTAGTCCTCTCTTGAGACAGTAGAAAAACCTTACTCCAGATCAATTCTCCTCATTAAAAAAATCGTTGTTCCAAATTTCTGCATATTGGGAATTAATCCCGACATTCCACCATTCAAAGCATGTGCGGTACTGCCTAGAGTCTGTACTGTTCTTCATTTGCTCCCGGAAGGGATAAAGAAGCAGGGTTGCTTTGCCCAGAGCTCTGCAAGCTCGCTCTCAGAAAGCCCAAGAAACAACCGCGACATTCCTCTGTCGAAGTTGAGCGTCCACGGCCATCTTCTCGCCTTCCCTGCGAGAGAGTTGATCTAATTCGGCCACGACGATGTAATTGAAGCCCAAGGACCACAAAAGTATGAGCCACAGTAGCATTCTGTATACGATGAGACGGTCGGGCTTGCTACCAACTCAAGATTATGCCGGTCCTGGAAAGTGCCAAATTGGCCACACCATCACGCCTTCCTACTCTGCAAGTGGGAATCTAAAGCGTGCTCTGTGGGAGAAGGTCGGTCTTGACATCGGCCTGACTCAACTTTCTTCTCCTGTATTTGGTCTTGATGGGACCCTTGGGTCCGACAACCAACGCATTCCACTCTACTTCAGGGAAATCCCCCACTAACTCGAACTCGAAGTTCCTCAACATGACACTGTATATGGTTCTGATCTGCATGTAAGCGAAAGTTTCGCCCAAGCATCCATGTCTACCGCCGCCGAAGGGAATGTACGAAAAGGCTCCAGCTTTCTTATCTTCCTCTCTGCCGGGAATGTACCTGTCGGGATCGAAGTTATCGGGGTTCGGGTACACGAGAGGAAGCCGGCCGGCCACGGAAGGCGACACCGCGGTCACGTGGCCCTTGGGAACCGTGTACGTCTTGCCGTTGCATTCCACGTCGAAGTCCTTGTGGGCGTAGCGCAGCAGCATTACAAGTGGGGGATGCATGCGCAGAGTTTCCTTCATAATGCGGGCCAGGTAATCCATATTACAGATGACATCGTGGTTCAATTCTTCTCCGTGTTTCTTGATCATCTCCAATTGCTCTTGCTGTGCCTGGGCCAAAACGCTCGGTTTGCTGCAGGGAGTACGAGTCACGGGCATAAAAACTGTTAGATATCCCATACACTTATAAGGGCGTAGCAACAGAAGCTCCATACAAACTGAAAGCGCACAACTTGTCCCTGGTGAAGGTTCAGTTCAAATATTCTGCAGCTGACAGCAACAAAGAAGATGATCAAATTCGAAGATGATCTAATATTTAGGGTTCTTTAAGGTGCAATTGAATTTGGCGAGTGCCTCAAAGTTGAAGACTCAGTTCAAATATTCTGCAGCTGACAGCAACAAACGAAGATGATCAAAGTCGAAGATGATCTAATGTGGGTTCTTTAAGGTGCAATTGAATTTGGCGAGTGACTCAAAGTTTAAGCTCAAAAAATGAAAAACTCACTTCATCAGGTAGGCTCCCATCCAAGATGAGGTGATGGAGCTCGTATGTTGTCCGCCAAAAAGAGCTGCGATCAACAACCCGGTGCATTCACTGTGTGTGGTGGGTCGTCCATCGGCCTTGTACTTGGAATCGATAAAAGACTGAAGCATATCGTTTTCTTGAACTCCCGATTTTTTCCTCTTCTCAATAACTCCACCGAAGATTTCTTCGAGTCTCTTGCGGGCTTTGTCCCTCTTGCGATGGACGGCAATCGGGAGATACGGAAACAGAACGCTGATGGGCACCATACCCTGGTCCAAATCGTAGATCAGCTCGCTGACTTCACCAAACAGGTGCCTCCGCACCTCTATCCCCAGAAGGCAACGACTCGCAGTGAGAATGATCAGGTGCTCCAATTCTGCCTTCAGATCGACTTCACCTTCGTCCCCCCACTTGGCCGTAAATTCCTGCACGTCCATAAATCAAACTATTAGAGACGCAAAGGAAAGACTACCACGAAGGCAATCGTCACAGAATCCACATTATGCAAGAATATTATACAATCCAATGATGATGGCCTTCGCCATCTCCAGCTCATAGACTGGACAACCATATCTAGGTGGATATCGACCGTTCTGAAAAAGCTCAATCACCCTATTATCACAGTACAAGAATCAACACAAGACACGCCTTCTTTAGATTCGAAGGTAGCTTCATCAAGAAAGAACCCGCATCTGTATCGCCCGTCAACCTACTACACAATGGTCGGTCAAACTTGAGCAACACATCCAGATCTAGACCTGGAGGTGACAGACTCCACTTGCATGCATCCGCTTAGCCAGGAAACGGAGAGGCTTCAGTTGTTTGGAAAAGGGCATCATTCAGGCTTGAGCAGAAGAGTAAGAAAGGCAATTTCAAATGTAGGCAATTTCAAGGCGGAACAGATGAAGGTGAGAAGTAAAGTAAATCATCCCTCCACACAATGCTAACAACAACACAAAAACTGGAAGCGGCGACACACACAAGCAGTTCTTGCCACAGTGAAGAGAAACTCTCAAGAATGATGTAAATCTTGGGAATGAATGGATGTCAGTGAACCAGAGCGCGATTAAAAAAAAAAATTGCTTGAATTTATGTTCCCGAAAAGTCGAAACGGCAGGAGAAATGCACCTGAGCTTCCTCCACCATAGCATCCACGTATCCTTTGAGGCGACTGACTTTCAAGGCCTCCATGAAAAACCGGTACTGCTCAACGCGGATGGGGTAATCCACGGCGAAGACGACATCGGGCCCAAAAGTAGGCACATTGAACTTGTAGACCTCCTTCTGACTCATCTCGGCTTCTGGCGCCTTGAAGAAATTCTCACTCACCTCAGGACCGATCAGAAATGTGATGTTCCTCGTCAAAACCTTGCAGGTAAATACTGGCCCCAACCTGTCATACTCTTCCCTTGCCATCTGCACGGGCCCATTCAGAAACTTCAACAAGCCTCCGATAACCGGAATGGTCCGCACCACGGGAGGCAGATTCTTGGATTTGGGTCTCATCAACAACCCCAAGAAAATCAGCGCTCCCGCAAGCAGAACACCGTAAAGTGTCGCCTGATTCGATGCCAACACATCGGGAAACTCCATTTCGCCCTCCCGAGCTTCCCCACCCACACCCCCACCCCCACCCCACGGCCGATTGCACCACCACCACGTCCTCGCCTCGATCTACCTCCGCATTTCCAACCGACCGTCTGCCCTCCTCTCCACCTCCGCTCCAAACTGATCTCCTCTCTCTCTCTCTCTCTCTCTCTCTCTTCAATCAGAACACAAAACTCTGTACTCCGCCACCATCGACCAGATCACAAGCCACACGCATCACCGCCAGATCAACCCTGTCGCATCAGCTCCCGACCTCGGGAGCGACTGGGTTAAGCAGACGACGAGCCCCGCCTTATCACGCTGCGCTACGCCTTTCCCTCTCGCCAAATGGGGCAGGCAGGCAGGCAAGCAGGCAAGCAATCGAGCAAGCAATGCCGATGCAGCATCGTCCCCCTCCCCCTCAGGCCTGCCTGCCTCACCAACGCTGCCAGGCACCCCCGCCCCGCCTCGCCTCGCCTTCCGATAAGGAGCTTCCCCCGTCGCGCCACAGGGCACAGCGCACAGCGGGCGCCCTGTAACTCTTTGGGCCCTGCGGGTAAATTTTTTCGCGCCTGTCGCGGCCTGTCTGTCGTTGCGCTGAGCTGGCGGACACGTGCCTTCCAACTCTGAACTTTGCGGCTTGGCCGAGCGCCCGTCGTCGTTCCCCAACCGACTTAACCGGAGTCTCGATTTCAGGTGACTGGCCTCATGCTCGTTGACGACGCTTTGACCCTTACTTCGGGACCACATCCCCGTCCTGTTCTCATGATGGAATTTCGTGACATATACGACTGTCTCGAATTAATTGTCTAGACTTTCAAAGGAGCTACACACTTGTAAAATATTCACATTTGTCGGTTAGGATTGATCGCTCCGAATTAAAGTGCGGCAGTCGGAAAAACTCGTCTAGTATAGCACGAAATTTTTGTCTTGTTTGATACCCTCTCTGAACATTAAAAAATATATAAACTGACGGGTAGACCCCGTCGGTAATTTTATCGGGTACAATATAGTAAATTAACACCGTGACTTATTGGGAATTGTCTTCATTTTTTTCAATATTACGCTGCGCTGACTCCAATAAAAGGAAGCCATAAATCACTGTTTGGTTGGTTTACATTGACAAGTCATCCACATGTTGGAAACCAAATCACAGCCCTCATTCGTAATTCTTATAACGGTCAGTATGTTGAAATGATTTGAGATGATTCGAGCTCTTCAAAATTAACTCAAAGCTGTGTCTTTAATGTCACGAGAAGTTATCGAACCACCAATGCTGTCATAGGCCAGGTGTGACGATACATGGAAACAGAAACCTGGCTTCTACTACTTTGATACGTATACCATTATGCATGTCAGCACGATAACTGTAGTTTCATTCATAATATCTTCTATGGACACTGGAATGTGACGGAGATGCTTACATTGGACAGCGCATAGTGCCCATGTAAATAATGCTTACTTGTGAGAATCTTATATTTGTAGGTCTCCATGAAGCCAAACCAATTGGTTTTACTCGATGCTCCTCATAAGAATGAACATATTTCGGAGTCAAATATGTGAGAGCCTTTACTTTTTATGACCTGTGGGCATGAATCCATCAACAATCCCCATAAACAGTAAATATATTTGAAAAAAATAATACAGTAGCTTTTGGAGATATTTCTCCCCAAATTCAATCATCTAGACTTACGTGTTAGATATTTACGGTGTGGAAGTCGAAAAATCTCAAGTGACATAATAATGTACCTAAACCCTGCACCACATTTGAGTATGATTCGAAACAAACAAACAAAAATTTATTATTATTTTGCATTTCTCTATAACTCTGGCAGGTTTGAGCTTAAGAATACAATTTTTATTACATAATATTCTTTGTGTTTTAAGTTATGATTTGAGCTTATCGGTAAGGGGAATCGTAATTAATATAACTTCCTGTTTTGAACAACTGTTTTAGCTTATCTAACTTTTAGCTATAATGTTTGAAAGAACCAAATTATTCACGGATATTGCAAGGAATGAAGACAATTAATAACTTTGTTATAGATGTATAAGGCCTCTCATCCTTCGTCATAAAAATGGAGTTAATAATCATACATTGATAGTTCTCTCTGAACTCCGTTCAATAAACTTTTAATATTTAAATTGTTTACAAATCGAAGTTGTGTACTTTTTTAATGGCAATGTTACTATGTATTCTGATTAATTGAATTCAGCTATGGATTGTGGAATAACATCAACGTCTTCATTATTGAGATGCAAATTTTTATTGAAACATGAAAAACATCAATAATAATGAAATGGTTGATAGAAACATGCGATACATAAATACTAATACTATAATATGGTACATCTGATTATTTAAAGATGAAGTCAAACCAAAATTTTTTTGGAAACATATTTGTTATGTTCATTCAATGAACAAAATTAGTCTTGGAATTATCATGTGCATTTAAATGTTTTACAACGTTAATTGATGACTTTGGAATGAATTACTGATGATTTTGTAAAAAATTACTATGAATTGTGAAATATCGTATGATATTCAAGTTATAATTGCACATTAATCTAGTTGTTAGCCTTTCTTATTTTCATGTGGATATTTAAAATTGAACGAAAATTAATGTATAGGTAGTTTTTTTAATTTAAGATTGATGCTACCAATATCCTTTAAAGAACTATGTATACAGACTTTCAAAGTTTTTTATAATACTATACAAATAGTAAATTCACAGTAAAGAATTAATTTTTCAATATGTACACAATACATTTTAGCACAAATACAATTTTCAATAACTCAAGATTAAAAATGAAGTATCACATAGATTGAAGAAGATGTAATATACGTTATACAATAGTTATCACATATAAATCATATATATTTCAGAAACTACGATTATTCACGAATACGTATGAATTTTGTTTGAAAATTTTATGTTATGTCACAATATTTATAAGAAAAATATTTCTTATTTTTTAATTAAATTTTTTCGGGATTATATTTATAGTTTAATATCTCAATAAGTTAAATGTGATATATTTTATGATGAATTATAGTTTAATTTTCTTAACTAATCGATGTTATTTTTATGCAAGATTAATCGAAAAATCATTTCAGTAACAAAAACTAATCTCATACAAATTATGTTTAAAAAAATTCTATGACTATAAGAAGTTAAAATCCGCAATTTTCGTTTAAAAAAATTAAAAATTATGTAAAACACATTTTTAGTTTTAATTTTAATTTTTCCAAAGATAGAAAAAATATTCAAAGTGACGAATAATTATTTTTTAGAATATGAACATTCTAGTATGACAACAACTCAGATATCATGTTAAGTTCTAGGAAATCATAATAATAACACGAGTTATGAATGTAAACTCTTAACAAGTTTCAAACTATTACTTTTGATTTTATATAATCAAGTTTTCCAAATTTTACTAGTTGTTTGAATTAGATTTGGTGATTAATATATTGTATACGAAAAAAACTCAAACTAAACACTTTATTTTTTTATAATTTAGATTTATTTCAAATAAATATAGATATCTATACAGAAAACATATAAAATGAAAAAAAAAATTACTTCTAATTTTATGAATTTACATATGATTAACATAATATAATTAGAAGTACATTAGTTACAGAATCCTCTCCACTATAATCAAGTGATTTGAAGAATGGAATGAAGTCGACTAGTTTAGCATCAGTTACACGCAGAGTAAAAGAGCAGTTCGATTTGGTTACTTGCTTCGATTCCGTTACTGGTGACACAGCGATCCACCTGTGACAGTGACAGTAAAGATGAAAACGAGGATGGGCCGGAGTAAGAAAAAGGAAATCTTGCTGACTGGCAGCAGCTGGCTGGCACGTGGAAACAAGGACATTTCGCAAACGGTCGTGCGAGGCTCGTGACAGCTCTTCCGTAACTGGCAGCATTCTATTTCACGAACGCGAGGATGCTCCTTCTCGACGGGTCGATCTACCGTATTGACGGTGGGGATTATTGCAGCCGGGAATGCCGGCCTGGGCGAAGACGCAAAAGTTGTGGTGAGTCAGCCCACAGGGTTTGCAGTTTCCGGCCTGGGTACGGTGCCGGATCTAGCTTCACCGCCCCCGAGCGTAAGCCGTAGATTTCTTCGAGCTCAGATTTCTAGGGCTGCAAGTGACAAACAAGTGCATGGGCTTGCCTTCAACCAAGCCTTGAACATTCACTTCTTCCATAATCTGGTGCCATGCGTGAATAGCGAGAATATGAATTTCGTCGATGCTAATACTCTACGACGCTTCACTCGTGGAAAGTGATGCCAATGATTTTGGCATCTAACAACATGTCTACTGGGTTCAAGGAGATCTGAACACAATCCTGGTGGACAACTGATATAGCATTTTTATATACGGTTTTGTGAAGTGCAGAATGCCAAAGAGCTATACTACGTCGAATAATATACTCGTTGATTTCCGTGGACATTTGCCCGTCCTTGCATAGACGACTTTTGACTCTCTTTCTGGTTTCCAGGTGAACCTTGAGAACTTCCAAACTCTTTGGATTTTCATCAATCCGAGATGCAAGTTTCTTCTTTATTTATCCATGGTTCACCGGCTTTTTTCCGGAATTTTGCATAGGCCTTTGTTCTCTCTCTTTGGAGAGATGTTGATGGATATTTGGTAACTTGTACGCAGGTTAGATAGTCTTTTCCATGGTTGACGGGTTAATAATTTAATTGAAAATTTGTTTATCAAATGCATGAACTCTAAAATTTGTCAAATACCATTCGATAGAGTGTGGATCGAATGAGACATGTCATTGTTGATCGACAACATACTAGAACTGAATCAGAAGTTTCTCAAGATATTGTTACAAATTATGATGAAATACTCTTTAAATTTTTATCAAGTACGATAACAAACTTCCTTCGTCAATCATTTCCTTGAATCTGGCGCTGAATTAATTTTTCGACCGATCTCATTTCATAATCTGTACATTGAGTGTTACTCCTCTGTCAAATCTACCAGTATCCATGGTTCAACTAATCAACGTTTTTTATACTAACATAAACATCGGGCTTTTAAGTGCGATTCATCTTCTTAGTTTTATTCAACAATATCAACCTCATTCAAGGATTTTTGTTGTCAGTTGTTGTCAATTTTGCTGTATTTATGGGCAGTGAAAATAGACAAGAGTGAGCATTGTCTTCCTCCATATTTCTCTAACTCGAGGATTTTGTTATTAAGTTCCTATATATTATCCAATATCCAAGGATACTGATATTCAAGTAACTGGCAGATCCATCATAGTTTTAGTCAAGGAACAGATAAAGTCTGCTCCACTTAAAAAATTCTCATAGATTGAGAGAAAATCGTTTCGTTTGTGTTTATTTTTTATTCAAAGTCAAGACACAATATCTCTCCTCCTTTGCCTGAAAAACATTCTTCAACAATTCT